CAGCGTGGCCGAAATGTACCGTGTCCTGACGGAGAGATCGCTGCTGACCGGCCTCTCGGACATGTGGTGGTCAAGCCGAATACAGGACGGTCTCATTCCTTGTGTGGTACTGGGATATATGGCATTCGCGCTTGTACTGATGGTACTGCTTCCGGGGAAGAGGTTGGAGGGGCCAGAAACTTTGAAAGGAAATATCCCCGTGTATAAAAACAACGGCTTCCTTTGCTATATTGTCACAATGGCGGCGTTTGTTGTGTTCACGGTCGTGTTGAAAGGTCAAGGACTTACACCCACAGTCGTGTACGACCGATTTGACGAAGTAATGCTGTTCTTGAACGCATTTAGTGTGGTTTTCTGTCTCTTTCTCTACATCAAGGGTCGCTACTGGCCGTCGTCTAGCGACAGTGGCTATACGGGTAACTTTATTTTCGACTACTACTGCGGGGTCGAACTCTATCCTAGAGTATTCGGTGTCGACATCAAAGTCTTCACAAACTGTCGATTCGGGTTGACAGTGTGGCCAATACTTGTAGTCCTCTACAACCTCAAGAGTTACGAGCTGCACGGGTTCGTGAATAGCATCTTCATTTCCTCCGTTCTTCAATTGGTGTACATCACAAAGTTCTTCTGGTGGGAGGGAGGCTACATGCACACCCTTGACATTATTTTGGATCGTGCTGGATTTTATATATGTTGGGGTTGTTTGGTTCTAGTTCCCTCTTTGTACGCATCCGTAAGTATGTATATGGTGAAAAATCCGGTCCATCTTGAACCAATCACCGCCGTCTTCTTACTAGGCTGTGGTTTGGCCTGTATATTGATAAATTATTGGGCCGATTTGCAGAAGCTGACTACAAGGAAAACACACGGAAACTGTCTTATATGGGGGCGTAAACCAAACATAATAAAGGCCAAATATATACTTCACAGCGGCGAAGAAAAGGAAAGCCTGCTTCTTGTGTCGGGATGGTGGAAAGTTGCCCGCCATTTTAACTACCTTGCTGAACTATTACTGGCGTTCTTTTGGACTGCGCCTTGCATGACCTTGAACTTTGCGCCATATGCGTACTTGACCTTCCTCACGATACTTCTCGTGCACCGTAGTTTTCGAGATGAGCGGAAGTGCAGCAGTAAATACGGCCAATACTGGAAGGAGTACTGCCGAGAGGTTCCGTGTAGAATTGTGCCATATCTAATATGACCGATAACAACAACAAGATTCGTACAAGACAATGGAGACGAAACCATGTTGTTCTGTGTCATACGTTTGCACTATAGAACAAACTGTTATCATCGTAAACATTGACACGCGTATAACCAACACGACCAGGTGTCTGTTTTATTGTACAGGCCCATTACAGTATATATTCACCTGAATCATACGTTCGGTCCGGAATGATTGTTGAAGGAATCCTGTTTGACTTTTATGTACATTTCGTGGTGACTAACGGAATGCTTTTTGTATTATCGTTTCTAAATCTGACTTTGGATTCCGTGGTTATTGACGGAATCCTGTCGATTCTGTGGTTATTAATATAATGGACGTACTTGTAAATTCCGTGATAACTGACGAAATAAGTTTATGTTTCTGTGTGGCTATTGATAAACATATGTAATTTCTTTAAAATTCCTACCCTGAACTTGTTCGAACGTGTTACAATGAAGCTTTGCATGAGTATTGGTGGACCTGCGTTAATTAGAAGAAGCTATTACGCAGCTTCCGATCCAAGACGGCCGGCGAGGCCTTTAATCGGTAGAACAGATGTGCAATTCCGCTGATTTGGTACTTTGGTGTGTTATGGCACTGCGAGCAGTACAGTAACGCTCGTTTGCATAATTTGTAACGTTTCGATCAGAACTTGTTGATATGATACTCTAGTAGTTATAATAGATTCCGTGGTTATCGGCGGTATCC